ATAAAATAAAAAAATCCTATATTATTGAAAAATTAAGAAATGCCTAAGTTGAAATGATTTCTTAATCACTTAATTTATCTCTATTATTATAAATTTCAAATCTACACAAAGTCTGAAATTTTATTTTACAAAATTACATAAGATACTTTTATCAATTTTGCAGTATATAACTTAAAGTTAGAGTAATAGAAATTCAATATTAAAAGTAAAAGATGATAAATTGCACCCACCATTTTCAAAATCCAATCACTTTGATATATAAAGCTCCTCACAAGTGTTAATTTTACAGAATACTTTGTTCTGAATGCTAAAATGAACATGGAGTAATTTTAAAGCATACAATTCCTTTAAAAATATTTCGAGAGATATCTATGAAGAAATTAAAAGACACCAACCTTAATGATACAACTGAGTTAACCAAATAGAGATTGGCCTTTAAATCATTGCTCTCTCAAACTGAATTAATGTTGAATAAAATTTGGGAGGAGTTGTCACAATCAATCAAATAAGTATATGATTAGATAGAGAAGGAAAACTAATCATACTTAAACCTCATCAACGAAAATACAAATCTAGCTGAATCCTCTTACAAAGATTTGGAAAAATTAGTTAACATTGTAGAAGGATAAACTTTAATAGATTGGAATGAGTAGAAGAATTCTTAGATGATAGAATTAGATAAGACCATGAATTGGGGGACCATCATATTAAGGCATTTATTGAAATGTCTAACCAAAGAATCCAACAGATCCAATCATTAATTAAGTAAGTATTTATTTATTATTGTAGAATTTAACATAATCAAGAAGAATTATCAGAAGAAGTTTGTTAAAGGAAAGAAGATCTCGTTGAAATACTAACGTCCCTCCAGGATATAGATGAATCTCTCTATAAAAAGCTTTTTGAAATACTAAGTAGATATAAGGTGTAGAGTTATTGGATTCCTGTCGAAGACAAACAATCATCAGTTTTATGAATTTTTAAACAACAACCAAGAGAATATAAAAGATGTGAAGAAGCAAGTAAAGATAATCACAAACGTCTTGAAGAATATTTAGGATCATCAATTTAGTAAGGATGATTATTCTTCAGAGACTTTTGAAAAGGCAAGATAAGATCTACTAAAGAGGTTGAAAGATAATAAAGAAGTAATAGATTTTATCAAATTTATTGTTCTCCTTACAAGTTTAGATGTAAAATTTATCCAAGGTGGATCAAATGGACTAAGTTTATTAGTGTAGATGAAAGTTGATATTAGGAACCAATCCTTTGAGAATATTAGAATGAAGAATACTTCTTTGATTGGTGGAAACTTTGTATGATGCAATTTTAATGGATCAGAATTTGAGAATGTGGATATCAGTGGAGTCAATTTTAATGGTGCTTAGATTTTCAATTGAAAAAGGGAAAATATAAAAGTCTCTGAATTGAATTAATTGGATGGTCATAGTAGTTGTGTGAATTCAGTCTGTATTTCTCCTGATGGAAATACATTCACTTTTGGTAGTGTAGATTAATCTTATCCGTTCATTGGATGTCAAAACTGGATAAGAAATTAAATCCTCTGTTAAGAATTAGGTATTTATTATATTATTATTACTTAGTCTCTAATTATTCAATTCTTGTCATATCACAAGTAATAATATTGAAAGCATCAGATACACATATCTTATAAGGAGAATTTATAAACCATTAAGGAAAAGATTTGAAACCTTTATTTAAATCTAAAGGAAGTTGCTTTTTAAAAGACTTATAGAAAAAGTGATTTTAATCATTATCAAACAACAATTATAATTAAAATCAATATCTAATATTGTTTTTAATTCTATCTTTTTAGTTTCACTCTTAATATCCACTGCTAAGTAAGTACTTATTTTTCAAAGTTTTTTTCCTTTTAAGTCATTTATACAATTCATTTATTTTTATAACATTCAAATATAAGATCAATTTAGGGTAGGGATTCTCATAAAAAATGTTATAAAGTTTGCTTGATAGAGATTTAAATTTAAATGATACTACTTTTAATTAATAATCTAAACAGAGAACAGTAAATGAAGAGTTTAAAAAAAAAGATCGAAATAATACTTAAAGAAAACAAATTTAACACAAATTCTTTTATATATCATTTAGGATATTTTATGATAGATTTACTTAATTTATTACTGTTTGAAAGTAGGATTAATCTTAAAAATTATTATTAACGGTTTCATATTTCAATCTTAAAACATTTAGTGAAAAATTAGAATTAAACAAGAAAAATTAATGAATAAATCAAAGAAATCAATTTTTGCAAAAATTAAAATATTCATATAAAATAATATATACTATATTATTAAAAATCAAGTAATTCAGATGTTGAAATGAATTCTCAATAGCATCATTTACATCTTTTACAATCAATTCTAAATATGCACAAAGTTTGAACTTCTCTTTTACGGAAATGCATAAGATATTTTTATCGAATTTACAGTATATAAATTAAAGTTAGAGTAATAAAAATTCATTATTAAAAATAAAAAGAAAATGTAGGGCACTTTTTAAGAGAAGGAAGCTCTAGCTGACATCTTTAATTAAATAAATGATGTAGATATACAAATCTTTAGGGCAATATTAGAAATATTAAGATATGAAAAAGTTTAAGACTGCATTGGATTTCTATCAGACATTGGGTATCAGAGACAGCTAGAATCATAAATCTTACAACAAGCAGGGAATTTCACCAAAGCTGATAAATAATAGAAATTGTCTGTTGTAAGAAAAGATTTGAAATTAATTACAGATGTATTAAAAAAATTAAAAGAACATGACTTCAATTACAAAGACTTTTCCTCTGAAGAAAATTAAGAAGCTAAACTAAGTTTAATTTAAAGCATCAAGGATAATAAATAGATATAAGAATTACTGTCATTTTTAGTTCACCTCACATCCATTGATGAAGCTTTAATATAGGGTGGGTCTAATTCATTACATTTATTGGTTATGATGAAAGTGGATCTTAGTAACAAAAATTTTGAAACCATAAAAATTTAAAATACTTCTTTATTGGGAGCTAATTTTTTAAGGTGCAATCTTAGTGGTTCCTAATTTAATAATGTCAACATAAGTGGAATTAATCTGAATGGAGCATAATTATTTAATTGTAAATGGAAAGACTTAAGAATCCATGAATTAAATAAATTACAAGGTCATAGAAATGATGTAATATCAGTTTGTTTCTCTCATGATGGAAAAACATTAGCTTCTGGAGGTGGTATAAAATTTGGAGTTGGGGATGGTACTATCTGTTTATGGGATGTCTAAACAGGATAATAAAAATCCAAATTATATGGCCATACTAGCACTGTTGACTCAGTCTAAATTTCTCCAGATATGAACACATTAGCTTCTGGTAGTGAAGATAAGTCTGTCTTATTATGGGATGCTAAAACTAAGAAAATAATAGTCAAATTAGATGGCCATACTAGTTATGTCTTCTCAGTCTGTTTCTCTCCTGATGGAAATATATTAGCTTCTGGTAGTGCTGATTAGTCTATTTTTCTATGGGATGTCAAAACAGGATAATAAAGAGCCAAATTAGATGGTCATAGTAATTTAGTTAACTCAGTCTGTTTCTCTCCTGATGGGAATATATTAGCTTCATGTAGTGCTGATTAGTCTATTCGTCTATGGGATGTCAAAACAGGATAATAAAAAGCCAAATTATATGGTCATATTAGTTGTATTAACTCAGTCTGTTTCTCTCCTGATGGAAATACATTAGCTTCTGGTAGTAGTGATAACTCGATCCGTCTATGGGATG